TTCCCTTTCTGGGGAGAGCTGGTGGCTGACTCCAGCCCTGGAGACAGGCTGAAGGGTGCCAGGACTGAGGCAGGCATGACGGGAATACTCGGGAGGAGAGGGCCCAACACTGGGCCACATGGATGGGGGTCCCCCGGCCAGGGCTGCCACTTACCGAATGGTGATTTCAAAGATCTGATTGAGTTTGCTCTGCAGCAGTGATGCCTAGACACAAACAGAGGGAGAGAGTGAGCTGGGGCTCCTGTAGGGAGATAAAGCTCCCCAAATTCAAAAGAGTACATGGTTTATCTCGGGAGGCCTGCTTGCATAAAAAGGAAAAGGCTGGTTCTGTGGAATTCCAGGAAGAAGAAGATTAAGTATAGATAAAGGGAGTGTCAAAGGAAGTGTCGATTGTACCTTGATCTTCAGGATGTTACTTTAATTATGTTATCTTGGGAGACTCAAAGGAACAGATTATGTATAAAAAGAAGCATAAGAAATAAACTCGGAGAGACAGTTGTGAGATCTGCTCTCCCTCCTGCACCCTGTCTGTCTTCTCTTTTTTCTCAGTCCCCGCTCCCCCATTCAGGTACCCGGTTTGACTTGGTCGGCTGGCTTCCGACAGGCCCCCTGCACCTCTGCCAGCTGCCACGAAACCCTGTCCGGAGCGCTCCGTTGGGGTGGGGCAGTGCAGACTCAGGAAGGGAACGGTGGAACCTGGACATGGGTTCAAGTCAGGCAGAACCGCCTGGCGAAGGCCTTCTGGGGACAGCACAGAGGCTAGGAACACCAGGAGGACTTCAGCAGGCAGTTCTTGAAGGGCCCTTAGCGCCTCTAAGTGGGGCACTAGAGCCTGCTGGGCACGGAGTCGGGAGGCTCAGAGCTGGTTCCAGCTCCTTCCTTAACGCCCAAGAAGCAGCTGGGCAAAATGGTTGGCTTAGAAACCGCCTGGCGAAGGCCTTCTGGGGACAGCACAGAGGCTAGGAACACCAGGAGGACTTCAGCAGGCAGTTCTTGAAGGGCCCTTAGCGCCTCTAAGTGGGGCACTAGAGCCTGCTGGGCACGGAGTCGGGAGGCTCAGAGCTGGTTCCAGCTCCTTCCTTAACACCCAAGAAGCAGCTATGCAAAATGGGTGGCTTAGAAAAGATGCTCGCTCTGGTCCCTCTGGTTCCAACTGAGTCCATGTGCACAGCATGAGTTGTGCATGTGCTTAGTAACTGGGCCTCCACTCCGAGCTCACAAAATGAGCAGTATCTACCTCCTGAGATGCAACGAGAGGTTAGTATATTATAGCCCCTCCATCTATATTATACTTACACTTTATATATATATAATATAATAGGAAAAATTACAAAAAAATAGGAATTATTTATAAATTTTGGAGCTTGCAATTATATTTCATCGTTACTAAAATGAACACCGTGACTAATGAATCCTGGTATATCAAATCAGTTTCAAGCAATGTTTGTGCTCTTCCCTTAAGTATTGGCATGACTCCTTCTTTCTACCTGCCTGGTGTCCTCTCTTTTAAATCTGTCTTCCAAGGCTGGCTGTTCGATCCTGTCTGCCCGGAAGCGGGTTCTGTTAAACATGGGCCCTCTTTCCTTTGCCTCCTCCATCACTGCGTAATGTGATGATCATAATGGTGTCAACCTCACGGAGTTGTCCTAAGAATAAAACTCACTAAAATGTAAGGGGCTCTGGTCCGCAGAGCCATTTATGTCCTTGCTGTTATGATTATAATTATTATGATCTGTCTGTTTGACACAGGAGCTCTTGAGATCAGGATTCTTTCTCACAACGAAAGTTGTGAGACCTGGAGGAGCATGTGGCTAAAAGCCAAGGCTTTTGGTTCATGGGGAAACAATGTGGTGCCTTGGCATTGTTGGCACCTAAACCCTAATTTCTGGGTGACAAAAGTGTCGCAATCTCCTAGAGACTCAGTCCTGCCCTGGACCCAGATCCAGGGCCTGTTTAATCCCCGAGGACTCACCCCTGCCATGCCTCACTTACCCGGGCCCCACAGTGCGCTGCGATCTCCTCAAAGGGAGCCTTCTGGAACTTCTCCACTACCTGCCGCCGCCGCTCACGCTCCTGCTCCTCGACTGCCACGCTGTCCACTGCAGCACAGAAAGCCCGGTCAGCCCGTAGGTCCCGCCCCGCTGATGTGGAGAGTTGGGCAGCCCCCGCTAGGGAGCTCTGTCTGGGGCTGCGGCCCGGGCTCTCCCTCTGCTGATGAGCAGGGTGCGGTGGCATGGAGGGCGTGGTGCCACCGCTTGGCCCCCGGAGGGCTAGACCTTGTCCCCATGTTGCCTGAGGACCCAGGTCCCTTTCTTATGTAAGGGATTGGGAAATGGTTAAGTGGACCCTTAAGCTGGGCTTTTGAAGCTGCGAGGAGCTACATTGCCACTGGGCCTCTTGGCCAGAAGTTCTTGGAACAAGAAGTGCTCTGGGGGTAATTTAAAAAGGGACATCGACAGTGGAAAATCCAGATAGGACCACAAAAAAGCAATGCAGAATCCTTAGGGCAGGGCAGTCTGAGGCCATTTAGTTTAAGACTTCTACATATTCTTCTTGGTATCCAAAATAAGTTGGCAAAAAAAGGGGGGTCTCGAATATGTCCATCATACTCTGTTTAAGAAGGCAGAAAGTATGTACATTCAGAAGGAGTACCACCAATGACAACAAAAAATAAAAAAGGTTTGGCATTTGATAGCATAATTCATCACTGGTTATGAGAAAAACTCTCTTATTCAAAATATTTCATTGCCCAATAATTCAGACAGAAGAGGTAATACTGCATTTAAAATCTATTGTCATTATTAAATAAAAATATGATTTGTTCTTAATATCTTTTATTGGTCAATTTGTTCTTTTGTATCACATTCTACCCCAAAATAGTCAAAATAGTTATACAAAATTGCTTTATACCTGACTGGCTGCAACCTTCAGTGGACTACATTTAATAATCCCCACCAGGACAGCGGGACTTTCAACTGTAGCTTCGTAGTTGTGACGGGTTTAGAGGAAGCCACCAGCCTCTGCCCTCGCATCTGTGCCAAATCACCCTCTGGAGGGCAGCAGGTGGCGCTGCACATACCTGCTGGCCTCCCAGGACCCAGCTCCGCCCTCCCCTGCATCGGAGTCACTTGCTTTCCACTTACCTATGGCCTTCTTTAGCGTCTCATAGGTGATCTCCTCAGCCGGCACTCGCTGAGGGAGAGGGGACAGAAGCGTTCAGAAAGGTTAAGTGGGGGAGGGGACAGAAGGGAGGTGGCAGCCCCTTTACCGCTTAGAAGAATGTCCTGACGGGCAGAAACTCCCTCGGGATACCCACCTTCTCACCGGGGTCCCCGAGGGTGGTGAGATGGAGGTGGGGAGGCTGATTCCTCATTAGAGTCTCCCCTAAAAGAACTCACTGTCCCCTCCCTCCCCACTTCGTCCCACTAAGCCAGGTGGGAGGAAAACACTGTGTCATTCAAAAAAGTCTTCAGCGAACCTAAAATATTGGAAGTAAGAGGAGGCAGTTGGGAAATATAATTTCAAATGCAGATTTCAAGAACTGAATAACATTTTTGAAAACTTATGATGTTCAATTATCCACCAAGGTGATTTGAGTATTAAATAAAGGTAAGAAATGCTGAGGTTGGTCCAAGGACCTGGGTCATAGGAGCTCAGTCTTATGATTTGCAGAGATCTTAGGATCTGCAGAGCCTATAAAAGGAGGTGGAAAATAACAATAATAATAATAGAAGAGTGCTCCATAGATGTGTGGCTTTACCTCAGATGCTGAAAATAGTGAAGGAGTTTGGACTAAATTCCAGGAATCCTCACTAGACTACAAGCTCCTTGAGGCAAGACCCACGATTTACACGTATTCTATCACTGAAATAAATATTAATAGAAAGAAACAGACACAGGAATAAATAACTTCATTAATAAAGAGTTCAAGATGTGACACCAGTCAGACTAGTGGCTCCTCTGGGGAGGGGGTGCAGAGGCGGGGCTCTCGGGCAATGACACTGTTCTATTCCCTGATCTGGGTGTGACTGCACGGGTACATTCTTTTTGTAAAAATCCATTGAGCTGTACACTGTTTGATTTGTTTGGCATTCAGTAAACGCTTGTTTGAGTAGGAAAGGGCAGAGACGTAGGCTATGGGATAAAGTCATTCAACAAATATTAAGAGAGCACTGACTTTGTGCAGGACTCTTGGCTATCACTCAGTAGGAACAGCAAAACGTGTTAGCAGAGGAATTATAGGCAAGAGAGAGTTGTGCTGAGCTGTCATTCACTCTGAGGAGTCACCCTCTGTACATCCCTCCATCTACCCATCCGCTGTCAGCACCGACCGACATCAGATATTCACATGCGAGGTACTAGGGAACCGTGTGGTGGCGACGAAGAAAAGGCCGGACACTGGGCAAGGGAAGGTAGAGAGAGGTTTATGGAGGATGGAACGCGAGCTGGGCATGGAAGAACAGGTGATTCGCGGGAGCGGAGGTGGAGAGGAAGGCTGATTCAGATGTGGGATTCCATACTAGCAGACATCACTACAAATAAGGGCACTGCATCTGGTGGCTTCAGCTCCCTGAGGACTCCTTCGCTCTCCTCCCCACCCCTCCCGCCATTTCTTTCTCATTTGACGCAGTAAATTTGGTGTTTCCACTATGCTTCCTTATTCTCCCTTACTCGTGGGTACATCTGCTTTATTTCCTGAGGTAGGAGAAATAATGGCAGGGGAGATATCGTATGTTAATTTGAACAGAAATTAGATATTTGCAGCCCTCAAGAGAAGAGAGAGGGATCGATCTTTGAGCTGCAGCTTTCTCTTTTAAAAAAAGCATCTTTATTGGTATTTCTGGATGAAACACCATGGAAACTGTTCTCACTCTCATCTCTCCCATTAGGTCTTCCAATGTCCAACATGGAGCATGTCTGCCTCATCCTGAGTGGGAAAGGACAAGTCTTTCAAGAGTAATTTTTATGATATCCTCAGGGGGAGTGTGTGTGTGTGTGGCAGGGTGCGGGTGGGCGGAAGATGGATACAAGTAATTTTTCTAGATGGAATTGTCTATGATATATATGAAGAGAGTCAGTAAGAAAACAGGACTTCCTTGAGAAATTTACTTTCCATGCAACCTTAAAGCAGATGTGCAGTTAGGGGGGCCTGGAGCATGCAGTGTCTGACCGCACAGGAGGCAGGAGCAGGTCCCTTCCCTTGGGGACACTGGGCTTCACTAGGACACTCACCTCCTCCTTCTCAGGGCTGTTCCTGGATTCTACCTCCACTTGCAGGGAGATGGTTTCTCCGATGCTCTTCCTCTTGGATAAACGATCCTCATCTGGGGAAGAAGCCAGAAGCTAGGGTTCCCGGCCCTGGGAGTGCGAGCCAGGATCATACCCCCAGTTCCATCTCCCGGGCTCTGTGCCTTTGCCTGGTCCACAATCTTCTGAGGGCTCAGTGCACACGGAGGCTACAGCTGGAGTTGACGGAAGGCTGCGGGCCTTCTCTGCCCACCTTAGGGTAGTGCCTTCTTCTCTTTAGGGCTAAGATTTTGAAATCACTGATGAGAGCAAAGAAGCTGCTCATGACCAGAAAGCATATCTCAACTCGTGTAAATGTCATCTGCTCACAGCAACTGATGGCTGTCATTTGTGTAGCATTTACTATGTGCATTTGCCTTCATTATTTCATGCACCTCTCCCATCAACCCTCTAAGGCAGGTACTATCAATATCCCTATTTTACAGTAAAGGAAACTGAGACTCAGAGATGCCAAGAGATTTGTCTAAGATTTTTCAGGAAATAAATCACAGAGAACTGGGTCTCTGATTCTGTAACCCATGTCTGGCACAATGGGGCCCCTCTCACCCCCACCGGCCAGGCGATCTCACGGGCTAGTCATTCCCAGGGACGCTGCATGGAGGAGAGAGGCGGGGAAGGCCACAGGATCTCATCATGGATTTCCACTGTGTCTTTCAGCTCTTGTGTGAAAATCCACGGAAGGCAACCGAAGTCCCTTACACTCGGGCCCTTACCTGGCCAAGAACAGCCAGAGGCAGACTTGGAAATCCTTGAGTAGAGCTCGTACCTGTCAGCTGAGGGATGTAGGGCAGGCCTAGCCGGTCTGAATTGTAGCCACTGCCCCCCAGGACCTCACTGATCTTGCTCTGGCGGAAGAGGAACTCCACCACCACTCCGTCAAGATTCTGAGACAGCCTGGAAGACAGAGGAGGAAAGAGGCAAGGGAGAACTGTGGGTAACCAGGATGATTTCCTAACGACTTTCCTTACTATAAAAGTCACGTTCATTACACGAAATGACAGAGAAGCAAAAGGAAAAATAATCACCCACAGTCCCTCTTTCCAGGGATTATCACATTTACATTGTGTGCAGAATCTTTCAGTCACATACATTTACGCACACACATAAACATCACCCACCTCCCATTCCTGTTCTGTGATATATTTTATACACATAGTATGTACTGGATATTTCACATTAACTATTCTTCCAAACCACTGCAGATAGGCTACTAGTTATCTGCTATGTGGATGGGCCATTTATTTACAAAGCCATCCTCTCTGGCTGAACATTTTGTTTTTACAGAATATCTTTTCCCTGAGTCCTTCTGATGCTGAGGTTATACTGGCCCACAGACTACAGCCTGAGAATGCCACTTGGATGATGGCAGTCTCTTGTCAGGAACGACTGACTCCTGCTGGAAGCATTTCAGGGCTCAAGCCGAAGCTCCCAGAGGTGGCATCTCACACTCTACAGCACAATACACTGAGATGGGTCAAGGCACGGATTTCGGTCATGCGATGGGATCGAACTTGACCCAGAACTTCTGGGCCACAGGCAGGGTCCACTTTCAGTCCTAGAGCTCTTAGAAGCCTAAGCCTCCAGACTCAGACCTCCCGCCTTCTTACTCAGCTGCCTTGGGTACCCTGGACCATGTCCCAGGTACGCTCCTCACCTGGGCCTCTCCACAAACACGTCTTCAGGGAGCATGTATGGAGCCTCTTTCTTCCTGGTCTCTATCACCTGAAATGTGGGAAGAATCGCATAAGCTCTGGGATTAGCCGCGAGCAGGAGCTGGGAGCTCTGAACAGGCAAATGAAAGAGCTCCCGCCCCTCTCAGCTTTTCCTCGCTCCCACAAACTCCTTGGCAGAGCACCCTACGACTGGGCTGCTGCGGGAGAAACTCAGACCAGCGGTGACCCTCAGAGCAGCCTGAGAAGTCCAGGTGGTCTGCTCAAGCTATGCCCAGTGACACATATGCATTAAGTGTCCTCCAAATACAGGAGACTTAGCTCCCAAGAGATACTTTCTTGCTCCTGTGACCTATTCCTGTTTTCTCTTTAAACATGAAAAAGGGAGCATAGGTCGCAGCGTTCCCCAAACCTAGGTGCATTGCAAACACATCCCGAGGACAATGACATGGGGCGTTTCCCTCAGTCTCCTTTGTACATTTTTGACAAGAAAGGTGAATGTCATTAAGATGACGAGAAGTGGGAGGATAGTTGGCAGGCGGGTATGTGCAGGAGGGGAGTAAGCAATGATGCTGTTTTACAGGGAGAAGATGTCTGGGCATTGCCTTTTCTGAACTCTGTTGTCATCCCAGAGGCAGGGAAGGTCTTGCCTTGCTTGGGGTGGCCTCTGGCACATTGACATAGCACCATCCTGAGAACGTCTGATTGTAGACTGGGCATCAAGTAGTACAAGATATTATTGATAATTTATTTAAGTATGCTAATTGCATGGGAATCACGTAGGAAGGGGTCTATACTTTTTTAGACACGCATACTGCTATTTGTAGGGGTGAAACGAAATGACGACTGAAATTTATTTTAAAATATTTCAACAAAGGAAAAGAAAAGGGAGATCGATGAAGCAAATAGGGAAAAATCTTCCTAACTGTTTAATCTGCATGATAGCACACAGATGTTCTCTGTCCTACTCACGTTGCTTTCGTGCTGTTTGAAAATTTTCATAACAGAAACTTCTTGATGTAGCTTTGGTCCCATGTGACCCGAGGGGTGTGTGTGTGTGTGTGTGTGTGTGTGTGTGTGTGTGCGCGCGCGTGTGTGTGTATACACACTTCCAGAAAGGGGGTGGGTAGCACAGAAGGGCAAGAAGTAGAAGGGGGCAGGTAGCAGGTGAGGAAGGGGTCTAGGATGCTGCCTGTGCCCAACCCGCCCTGGTACGTCACCTCACACAGGAGGAAATGCTGCTTCTAGTAACTTCTCACTATTACTGGTTCTTACCTCACCCCTTTCTTCAATGCCTAGACTAAGAACAGGGCTCATGCAATTAAGAAAAAGTTCTGGAGAAACCCCAAGTTGAGGGCTTCCTGAGCTCTCCGGGTCCCGAGGACACACACCAACCTCGTGGATGTGCTGGCAAAAGGCAGGCACCGTCGTGAGCTGGCTGATGAGGTTCAGGTAGGCCGCACCCAGCGCGTAGAGGGCACAGCGGTTATACACAGGCAGGTTCTCTTCATTGACCTGGGCCAAGTCCTGTGGCAACACAGAGGGGCTTTTGACAAACTATCCTGGTGTGTCACCCTCCATCCAACCTCTCCCCGACCTTCCTCAGAGATGGCTCACTGCTCTAGACTAAGCCTTTTTCAGCACTCGCCTCCGAATTTCCTGGAAGACTGAAGTCATCCTTATTAAAGCTGAAGTGAATGGCCCCTAGAACAATCCATGAGCTGGCGGCTCATAAGTGCTCGAGTAGAGAGGCGATGACCTCAATCCCACACTTTGCAGTTCCAGCTTTAGTGGCTTTGACTGTTCAAACCCTCATCGTTACGCCCAAGGACGCTGTTTTCTTCACTACAGACCGTGGATGATTCTCGGAGGACTGGATTGGCTTCATAGGTTGGGTTCACATGTTGAACTGAGAAAGTCGTGGGAGTAACCAGGGGATTGGGATATAAAGGAATCTCAAATTCCAGAATGAAGACAATCACAGCATCTGGGTTGGTCTTGTGGATTTAGCATGGCCAAGCAGGTGGCCTAAGATGCTTCATTACCGATTTCCAGGTTTGTGACAACAACCTTACTTTAGGAACCCGAGACCCTCATCTTTGAGGTCGGAAGGGGGTACCCCGATGTCTAGCATCCTTGGGAGTACACTTCTACCCGGGCAGACCTTAAAAGTCTAAAGCCCTATGTTGTGTCACTCTGGCTGCCTAAGAGTCACAACAGAGGTTGGCTAAATCTACAGGCCCCGGGCTCAGGGAAGGAACTGGCAGTATGTATTTTTAATAAGTGCTTAAGGCAATTCTGAAGCACAGCCAGGCTTGGGAACCAGATGATCTGTCTTGGGGTGACTCTGGGCTTATGAGTACCCTTGTGGCAGTCCTTGGAGTCCCATTCAGACTCTTCGAGAGACTTAAAACACTAGGGGTTAACAAGTGTTTTTGACTGACCCAGCTCCCAGGGTCTCTTTCAGCCTGAGAATGGGCCAAAGCCATGAACTAAGCATTCTTTGGTGGTTCTCCATGGTTTGTGGTCTTCACGGAGGAATGGCCGACCGAGGATGCAAAATTCCTGGGCTCTAAAACGAGTGCGAAGTTGTTGCTACTCAGCCCTCTCATTGGTGCTTGGGCAAAACAGGTGCTCTCCCCCATCCCAAACCCTATGTCCTGCCCGCACCAGGCCCCACCTGAACAGCCAGCACCAGGCGGATGAGGTCTACCACCACCTCCTCGTTGGCTAGCTCGATGCTGGTCAGCGCCAGCAAGCTGTACAGCGCCTCGTAGTGCTTCTGGATGTTCGTTTCCTCCTTACAGCTCAGGTAGATGTGTCTGTAGAGCTGCTGGGAGTGCTGGAGATGGGGACGAGGGTGGGGATGAGGCCGCAGTGGGCAGGGTGGGGACAGGAGAGGCAAGGAGAATAGAAAGAGCCGTCCGAAGCGGGTGGGACAGCTGTGTGTACTCCACCCCCCACCCTCAGGGAGAGGATGCCTTTAAAGCAGACCCCAGTGGAAGTGAGCACGCGAGGGAGTGCATGTTCAGGGAAGCTTGGGGCCAGTCCGGCCAGCAACAAAAGCTGTTGCCCAGATCCAGTCTTAGGAGCGGAACAGTAACCGGCTCTGGTCCTCACCCTGGCCTCGGTGATGAATATGACCCTGGGGGCTTGACCCACCCCCCAGAGGGGTCGGCTGCTCATCCAGACTAAACATAGTCAAAGAGGGAGGAGGCAGGCTCGGGGGCAGTGGTCCGCAGTGACTTGGGAACTGGAAGGTCAGAGTTCAGAAGGCTTGGCCCACCCGGGGTTCGCTGTATTTTGAGATCACATTTGCTAACCTTTTTCATGAAGACGGTGTCCTGCCGGGAGCACTTGTCCACTTTCAGTTTCAAGACAGAGATGTCACTGAGGGTACTGGAATGGGACACGAGGGGCCACCTTAGCCCTTGTGTGAGGCCAGTCAGAGCTCGCGCGGTGTCCCTGGGCTTTATCCCAATGTCATGGGTTGTATCAAAGCCTCCAGCGCCCCTCGAGCCCTGGTTCCTAGCCCATTCTTTTTCCCCCCAGGTTCTCTAGTTCCTGTCCCTTTTTCTTAAACATCGTTCTAGATTATTCTCTCCCGCCCCACCTGAAAACTCCCTTTACTACCTGCTCTTTATCTCTTCAATCTCCAACCCGCTCCCGTCTCCCCAGGTCAAGGGCCCTTTCAGTCGCTTCTCCCCTCACAGGACCCCAGGATCAACGTCCGCGATGAGTTCTCTGGTGGGAGAATCTGAATCGCCCTCCCGCCTGCGTGTGTGGCTCGATCGGGAGTCTTCTCTCATCGCGCGTTCACAGAGGGGGGGCGGTCCCCAAGTTCACCTGATGGAAGAGAATTTGTGGCGGTTGCCGTGACGATCAATGAAACTGATGAGAATCTCTAGAACGAAGAGACGGATCTCTGAGTCCTCCATGAGGGCGGTGGAGAGAAGGCGGTCAAGGAAGTTGCTGGGCAGGGCTGACATCATGTTGTTGCACTGGAAACCTGTGGACACCTGTGAGAGAGCCCAGGATGGCCATGCTCAGGGACGCTGCCCCGCTCCGGTGCAGTGAGGAGGTAGAGGCGCGGCGGGCAGAGGTTGGGTCTGAAGCATCCATCCTCTCTTGGCATCTCCCAGTCCAGCTCCCCTGGGGCCGGATTCCTCAGTCGAGACCCACCCTGAGCCCTGGGTGCCTCGGGCAACTTTTTTGACCGCGCCAACATCTGCCTAGATGACCTCCTCAGCTCTGCTCAGTAGACATGTGGGTAGATGGGGCCAGTGTTTAGGAACACTACTAAGTGGTTAAAAGCAAGCAAGGATGAGCACTAGAGGGGAGCGGGAGTCGGGGAACCTCTGAACTCACGTTCCAATCTGTCAGGGCACAACTGATGAGCTCTCACTGTGAACAAAATGCTTCACTAAAAGTGTGGACAGTGACAAAGAAATGGAGAGACAGTGGAAGAACTTACAGCTGGGCTGAGGAATCAGAGCCCCACGGTAACCAGCAAAGAGCACACACAGCATTCGGTTACATCTCTTCTAGCGTGGCCACGAAGGGGGTCTTCTGATTAAAGTCAGTTGGCATAGACACAGCACACGTGATGTCAAAGCAATCAAAAGCAGCAAGATATATTTACTGTCAAGTCCATATTGCAAAACAATGTCTTTGATGCTTCAGCTAGCCCTGGAGGATCTAGCTAAGCCCGGTGCCATCAACAGTAAACATCAATGTTTACTGAAGGGGGATGTATTTGAGTGTGCCTCAAACTGTCACCTTAATAAGATGCCAGGTACAAATTAATGAGGGTAAACTCAGCAAAGAAATGGCAGGAATACATAGATCAAGGAGGTAACCAGATGTGGGCAGTGTCAGCACAAAAAGCATTTATAAAAATAGAGTGACATGAACGGCGTGAGTTGGGGAGAGGGCGGGGAAGGCCTGTGTGGGAGTGAGGGGCTGTGCAGACTGGCGTGGCTAGAACAGAGGCGAGCTGAGGGAATGAGATGGGGGAGTCTAGGGAGGGATAGGGGGTTGGGGACCTTCCAACATCAGTCTGAGAAGTATGGGCATACCTCATATTACTGCCCTTGGCAAATATTGCTTTTTTAACAAATTGAAGGTAAGACCCTCCATTAGCAAAAAGATTATGACTCACTTCAGGCTCAGATGATGGTTAACATTTTTTTAGCAATAAAGTATTTTTTTAATTAAGAGATGTGCATTAGTTTGTAGACATAATGCTATTGCACGCTTAACAGGCTACAGTGTAGTGTACACATAACTTTTTCAGGCACTGGGAAACCAAAACGTTTGTGTGACTCACTTTACTGTGATATTCACTTTATTGAAGTAGTCTGGGACTGAACCCGCAATATCTCTGAGGTCTGCCTGTATGAAATCTGGATGTACATCGACTGGAAATTGAGACCTACTCTTTGACAAGAAGCAATATGTGGGGAACAGCATTTCTAGAAAATTCTTTTTGTGGCTGCGTTTATGATAGATGAAGAGAGGTGGAAATAAGAGTGACCAGGAGAATAATCCAGTTGCGAGGTCCAGAGTTGAGGCCAGGGTTATGCATAAGAATACCTGGGGAGCTGGCTAACAATTATGGATTCCAGACCCCACTCAGACTGACAGTTCAGATTCTCTAGGGCAGGGGTCCCCAGCCCCTGGGCCGCAGAGCAGACCGGTACTGGTCCGTGGCCTGTTAGGGACCAGGCCTCACAGCAGGAGGTGAGCGACAGGTGAGCAAGCAAAGCTTCATCTGTATTTGCAGCCGCTCCCCAGTGCTAGCATCACCGCCTCAGCTCCACCTTGGATCATCAGGCATTAGATTCTCATAGGAGCACCAGCCCCTGGTGCCTAAAAGGTTGAGGACTTCTGTTCTAGGGAATCTCTATATTTTAACAAGTTGGTCATGGGAATGGAAGAACAATGAATCTAGACTCCAGTGATGGCTGTGAAGATGTAAAGAAAAGGAACGTAATACAGTGACAAAGAGAAAGATGGTGGCGGAGACGGGGAGACGGAGGTGAGCACGAGTGTCCAGAGAGAAACAAAGCGGGGAAGGACCTGGGAGGTCCCTGGAGGGGAGAGAGCTCAGGAGCCGATGTTAGAGCGACTACTAGTAGCTGGCGAGGAACCTTTGTGAAAATTAGAAACTGGCACCCCACTGCTCTGAATGACCCAGCTCTGCGGGGGCCCAGCCTGGCTGGTGAGTGGAACACAGGCTATATCTCAGTCCCCTACTCACCCCTTTTGCTGAGCATATTTGCGCAGTGTGCAACCTGCACAACTGTAGGTTGTAAACAGCCCTTGGTCTTGGAAGGAGCTGCCTCCTGCAGAGGCAGAGTGGGAATGGGGCTCACCTGAAGGGGCTCACCTGAAGGAGGGATTTCAGCAGCATAATCTGGGTCAGCCGGTTCCTATTCTCCCTGTAGCAGAAACATACATACTCACCAGGATGGTGGTCTGGGCAGGGACCCCGCACTGCCTGCATCATTCTCCCTCGTAAGTGGATGCTCCAGGAGTCTTATCTTGTTGGGTTATCCAGGACAGTGACCTCCAGGGCCAGAAAGCAGACTAGGGAATTATTGGCTCCCCGCAACATGGAAGTTAGTTATTGGCGGGGCAGCCGGAGGAATCCGTGTAGGATCCAAGGGCCTCTCTGAAGGCTTCTGAGGGATTTGAGAGTAGAACAAGGGAAGCGAGGGCAGAACCGGCAAAGTCACGGCGGAGACAGGAGTGAGCTGGAATCACGGGAAGGGGCAGCTGGGTGGAACCTGGGCTGGGAGAGGAGGCAGCGGGAGGAAGGCGTGGTGGACTCACCCTGTCCTCCCTGTCTCCATGGGGTGATGCAGGGAAGGCAGTGGGACCTTGCTCATGATGAAGAGGATGACCTCGGAGCGCTGATAAGTGGGCAGCGTGCTGGCAAAGGAGCCTGTGGGAAAAAGATGGTGGCGAGAGTTGGCCCAGGTGAGGCCACCAGCTGCTAGGGTCTTTCAGCTCAGCCCGTCAGCTGAGCAAACTGCTGCGGGAGTGTGGGCTGCTTCTCTGGAGGGAAAATTAAGACCCAGAGGGAGAGGACTCGTCCAGGCTCCAGTTCTCCCACTGGTCATTCCTGAGCCGGTGGCTAAGGTCTCTGGGATGGAGAACGCTGTGCCCCGGGACCAGGGCAGCAGCCTCTAGCGCCCATCTAGGCTCTGTCACCAGCTGCTCTGCTGGGTGACCTCGGGTAAGTCACACCTCTGGACCTCAGTGCCTTCATCTGTGAACTGGGGATCATTCCTGCCCTGCCTGCTTCTCAAAGCTGGGGGGGAAGCTCCAATGGCACCAGGACACGAAAGCTCTGCACGTGGTGAGCCCTTCCGTGCTGGTGGCCTTAGCGTTCTCTACCACGGCCATGTGCCTACACGTTTTCTCCACGGCTTTCTCGCTTTCCTCTTTCTTTTCATTTTCTCACTCCCCACCTCTCATTCATGGCTCAAACGTGGAAACATCAAGCAGGCCTAGTGGAGCCTGGGGCACAGGACGAGTTTGCCTGTCTTAGCCTTCGATCTGAAGTAGTCCAGGCTGGACCGATGACCTGTGGGCCCATCCCGGGGCCACATCCCCTCGAGCCACGCCCCTCCTCTCCCCGGGCCCAGCACCTATGGTCTTGATGACAGCCTCCTGGAACATGCGCTCTTCGTGCTCCTTGATGATCTTGGTGCCCAGGCTGACCGCCCCGTCGTAGCTCCCGGTCAGCGCGTAGTCGATGCTGAGCCGCAGCTGCCGCAGCAGAGTGTTGAACATCTCCAGCACCGTGGGCCCTGAGCGCAGAGCGCGGGGAGACCCTAAGTCCGGGGCTGGCACCCCTCGTTCACTCCCCCTTGCCCTGCGTTGCCCGGGGAGCCTAGACCCACTTCCGACCGGGGGCTTCCTCTGCCCCCACCTTCCCCCTGCGGAAAACCTGTTCCGACACCTCCCTACGGTGCCTTGCCGTTTTCTGGCAGGGGAAGGCGGCCTCCTGCCAAGGGCACTTCTTTGTCCTTGAGGGGTTCCCAGCCCCACTCCTTTCAGGGCCCCCTTACCCACGGAGCCGGTGGCGGCGATGACCGCGGCTTCCGACAGGACTTCCACGATGCCCGCCCGCACCGTGGCCGCGCTGCGGCTGTTGGCATCCAGGTGGCTCAGGAGCTGCTGGATAACCAGGTGGGAGTGCTGCGGCTGGGGGGAGGAAGATGTGCTGGTCCCCAAACATCAACCCCCACATGGCCTCTGAGCCAGGGAGGCCCTGACCGCGACCCAGAAGTCGCGGTGGTCCCCAAAGGCCGGGATGGACCAGAGCGAGATCCCAAGGCCAGCGGGCACCGGACGTGGCGCGATACCCCAGTTCCTTTCCTGAGTTCCTCCCCCCTTGGTCCAACAAGGAGCAAAGCCAAATCCCAGTGAAGACCTGGGTTTCCATAGTTTTCCTGTGCCCTTTTGCTTCAAATGGGTCACAAGTCAATTTTAAAGTATCGTTTTCCTTTCTATTTTCCCCAGGTCCCAGGTCTTATTGGTAAGCGCCACTGAGAGGCGACATGGTCTAGTCCAGGGCTGCTCAAAGCATGGCCCCTGATCCGATGCCAAGTTAAGGTCTGTCCTATGCCCGATGACATTGAGGTAAGTAGAGAAATATAGAGTGTTTAGTGAGCAATTTGACAGTGCTGTAGCAGCCAAGTGTGGCCTGTGGACTTGTATTTCGCATGAGTTTTTCATTTACGTTTTCTAGGAATCCTTTTAAATTTTATAAGGTAAATTGGTCTGTGACCTATGAGAAATAAAACTAAACTGGTCTTTTCCCACATTGAGGTTAAACAGCACTAGTTTAGGCAACTAGGGGCTAAGGAGAAGTCAAGGAGGACAGCTGGCTCTCTCCAGAAGCACAGTGTCCTTGCTCCCAGGACTGCCCTTGGCCGGGGGGACAAGCTGGACTAGGGGAGCCACCATACCTGAATTGAGTACATGATGATTTTAAAGCAACGGATGGCGAACACCTTTGGTTCCCAGAGAGAGTGGTTATCCAGATGTCTGTGAGAGAGAAAATGTGGGGGAGGGACTATGGAATGCAAAGTGACGTTACGGAGGAGAGAGAAGCTTGGTGGGAGAGGGACCCCTCCGAGAGACCCAGCCCTCCCATAGCTCCCAGGTGAGTGAGGAAGGGCTCGTCGGTGCAGGCGAGAGAAGGGAAGCCTGAGGGACCCCAGGTCAGTCCCAGCCCCAGAGCTGGAGGGAGGTCAAGGAACGGGGCTCTGTACCTGTCAACTCAGGGGTGAACCAGGCACCTTCCTTCCTTCCTTCCTTTGGGGGCCCTTCTACCAACTCCTCCCCCAAACTGCACTTGGCCGCTGTGGTAGCTTCTGCTGTCATAATTCAGGGAAGACAGGCACAGAGGAGGGACAAACTTGACCACGGCACCACAACCATAATACTCCTCCCCTTCTCTCTGAGTCAGCAAGTCGACATAGGACCTGGAACTGTTTGCTTGGCGGGGGGAGGGCAGGGACTCACATGAGAACAGGCTTGATGGCATTTTTGATGTTGCCAAAGGCAGCCCGGCCCAGCAGTTCCCGAAGGCACCTCTCGGCCAGCTCTGCAGGGTTCTCCTTTTCCTTCTCTGGAGCTTGGAGGGGCGAGGGGGACCGGCTGTGGGAACACACAGCCACGTGGGTGAAGGATGGAATGCAAAGCCGGGAGTCAGGCTTCGTGCACGCCTGGGGTTCGGCGCTGCGTCCACGCAAACAGTGACAGTGGGACGGGCAGGAATTTGATGTAGGTCATGGGGGGATGTCACAGCTGTCAGAAATTAAATGGGGCACAGAAGCCCAGAGTAGAGGAAGATTGTGGGAGAAGGGATAAAATTTTTCCAGAAATCCTTAAGGTGAGGCCTAATGCACTTCCGTGGGACAGGCAGAGACCCGAGCACCACGGACCCGGGAAGGCGCAGACCACGAGTGTCCCCATCCCCCTAAAGCTTTGAAAGAAAAAGAGATGAGAGAAAAAAGGAGAAAACAAGAGAAAGTGGGAGAGAGAAGAAGGGAAAGGAAAAAGAGGGAGGGGGAAAAATAGGCAGGGCGGTTGGCTCAGGTGTGATTCAGTGGTGGATCCAGATTCGGACAGAATAGGGAGGAGCCGGGACCACCACAGGCCAAGCTTGTCAGTGAGATGCGGTTCCAGGAACAGCCACCAGAGGGCACACTTACTTTCCCTGCATGACTGACATAAAAGGAGGAGCCCAGCCAGACTCTACAACCAGCGTCATGCCATGTGTAGCCAAGGTGGACAGTGACATGAACCTTTCCCTCCAGGCCATTTCACAGGATGAATCCCATGTCTGGGGGCTTCCAGATTATAACCCAATATTTGCGATTTGTGTCAAGGGGCTGCTGGATGGCCAAGCAGGCGTTTTAAGGGCCTGAAATACCAGAAGGAAGTGAGGAGGAAGGAAGGTCAGGGAGGGAAAGTCCTCAGTAATTGGCGCCATGAAAGGCATTTTAAAACCTCCTTGGCCTGCTGCTTCCAGAGAGACAGGAGTAACCGAGTCTTGGTTCTTTGTTGTTACGGGCACACATTAGCCATGGATACTGTTCTTCCTGCGTGAATGTAGATCTTAAACGAGTACAGCAGGCCAGCAGAAGGCCAGATCCGAGGCTCCTAGGGAGCCAGCCCTGGACTAACTGCAGAACAGGCCACGAAAGCCAAGATCCCTGGCCCCGTAGTCAGGTTTTGCCAACCAGCCTGAGCCATGTGGTTCCCAAGCAGCCGGGGAAGGCGGCCTGGGAGGATCGCACGTGTCCGCTGTCCAAACTCCGCCCTCGCCTGCTTACCTCTCTGCCTCCTCCACATGCTGCAGGTTGAAAAGCAGAGATGGGACAATCTTGTCCATGTGCTGTGGGTCCCAGATATTGGCTTGCAGTTCATCATTCACCGTCTTCCTCACCACCCCCTGCAGACCTTTGATGCCTGACATTCGGATTCTGTAAAGAAAAGGGTGAAATGGGGCCATGAAGTCCTCAAACCTGAGAAGTCCAGCTTCTGTGGCAAGGAGTTAGGGATACAGCGTAGGGGTTAGGGGTACATTCATCTATCACAATGCAGAGTGGAGCCCACCTTCTACTTTGTGTGACTTGGCCCCGGGCTAGCTGGCTTCTTGTGCTAGTAGACACGAGCCCAGGAGGCCATGTCTTCTGGCTTGTCTTAGAGACCCAGACTGCTCTTGCCTTGGTACCAGAAGCCTGCATCACTAGGGCGCCAGTTGCTTCAGGCTCCCTCTCTCTTGTATTCAGCTGGGTTGATTCCAGCTTGAGCCCAAGATCTAAGAGCTCAGAGTGCTGCCAAGAGCTGCTGAGGCCAAATCCAGGGCTGTGAGCAATGTACGGGGGAGAGGGGACCTGGATGGAGAGGCACAGGGCTGCCAGGGTTTCTGGGCACGAAAGGGTTTCGGCTGCGGCTAAGTTGGATGAGAAACCAGAGAGGAAGCTGAGTGACAGCACAGAGGGAACCCCTTTCACACACCCCCAGTCCCCACTGCACTGACCCAGTGTCAGTCAGCACAGGGGGCCCCCTTTACTGGACATTTATTGCGGTCTGATTTTTTTTCATCAAGCTTTTTTTTTTTATTATTATTACAAAGTAATACATGCTAATTATAGAATAGAGAAAATCTACCCTACTGTTGCCACTCAAAGATAACCGTTTTTGGCATTTCGGTGTCTTTCCTTTCTTCTGCGCATAATATGTACCAGAATTAAGAACCTATTGCATGTGTAATATGTATTTTGCCCCATAACATTCTATCATAAGCATTTATCTATATCATTAACTCTTCAGACCATGCATGATGTAGTATCAGAAGAACTTTCTAAACTAGTCTCCCATGGGTCATTTAAGTTGCTTCTAAATTTTTTGCTACTATAATAATGCTATGATGAACACATCACTGTGTAAAATATTTTACCACTATTCAAATCATTGCCATGAGTGGAGTCACTGAATCAAAGGTAAGACATGAAAGGCTCCCAATATGGCCACATTTTATTGTCACATTACTCTCCCCACCCCTGGTGTGCCAACTGCAGGAGAATGCCATCTCACTGTTCCTGCCTCGGCTTGGGGGAATCTCATTTTAGACATCTGTTCTAATTTTATGGCTCAGGAAAATTCCTAACATCTTGTAGCTATTTCAGTTTGCATCCTTTTGATGATTATTGGAGCTGAGCAAGTTTTTCTAAATATTTAGTTGCCATTTTCTGCTTCAATTTTAAATGCAGTTACCAGGGTGCTACCCTGGGCCTTATCTGGTGACCGTACGGGGTGGTGGGAGAGGCCTAACAGCACCAGGACACCCTGGCTCAGGCCCAGTCAGGGCTGCTGACGATGAGCAAGGATTCGCTGGGGAACCACTCAGCAGCTCTGACCCTGACCAGTCGAGGCCCTGAGCCAGAGGTTGTCCAGACCTGAGAATGAAGCAACTGGGCTACTATTCTACTAACTGTTCTGGGCTCTAGGTTGAAAGGAGCTCCCTAAAGCACAATAGAAATATACGCCAAACCTGTTGGACTCATGCCTCACCCAGGAGAGCCTGGCTGGCAAGACAGCGGGCTCAGTGAGCGGAAAACTTTATTCCCACGGCTTCCTCATGCGTGCACGTGAGTGAGGTTTTCTTCTTGCCTTCAGTCTCCCCAGAATCCCTTCCATGTATGTACACATCTCATTCCGTGACACCCGGAGCCTACCCATGTGCAAGGACCTGGGACGTCTCTGAACCCCAGGGGACCGCACACATGCACGCACCTACTTACGGGGCCTGAAGGGTCGTTCTTGGAAAGGGGCTCTGGACTCTCCGGGCTGTGAGTGAGCGATGGGGGGAGAGCTCAGGGAAAGGGGGTGCGGGGAGGTTATGGAAGGAGAGACACCAAGACGAGGGGAGCAGGCCGGTGACAGGAGCTCCTCTCACCCCCAGGCCTTCCTTTCCCGAACGGCGAGTGCCAGGCGGTGGGTGCTGATGGCACTGCCCAGTTGCCAGGACACCTCAGCATCTCTTCTCCCAGTGTTCAGTCCACTCCAGACGCTGTCAGATCGCAGTGCGGACCATGTCTGCCTCGCGCCTCTCCACACGCAATGTGGATTGCGTGTGTGTGTGATTGTGTGCATGAATGCACGGGTGTGTGTGATTGTGTGTACGTGGTAGACAAAGAGAGGTGTAGATTGCCACGAGGAGCGTGACCTCTGCACCCCCCACTCGTGAAAGCTTGGCCCTGCCTGAGGGGTCGCCACCCGTTACTGCTTTACCTGGTTACAACCCTGCACTTTCCCCAGCACCTCCTTCTGGACCTGCCCCGACTGCTCCAGCCCCCCTGCCTCTTCATGGCCGTTTTGGTGTGAGATGGCTAGTGCAGGAGCCAACACTGGGGACAGGACGAGGGGCCCCTTCCTCCAGTGGCCTCTGCTGGCCTCATCACATGCTCCACGATAGCACAGCCCAGGGAGCCCATGACTAGTTCAGGGGATGGAGACCGGGGACACTGCCGACCAGTTGCATGGGGAAGCTTTGGGGACAGGCAAACGGGGGGGTGGGGCTGGAGGGGTTCACTTCCTGTTCCTCCAACCAACCCAGATTGCCAGCGATGGCGAGCGAGCTGGTTTTTTCTTTTGAACATTCTCTAGTTTCACGTAGCATCCCAGGTTGATAACACACTTCGTAGGCAGGGACCTGCTTCTAACTCTTTTGCACCTTACAGTTCCAAGGACAATGCTTGCCACAAAACACTGACTTATTGCTTCATCGGTTTGATGCTGTATGTCCGCTTTACCTATCTGTGTCAACAGATATTTGTGTAAATTTCTTTGTGATTTCTATGTTGATGCGTGTATTCCTGTGAGTTAAGTATGTTTATAAGTTCGAGTATGTGTACGTAACAGTATATTCTGCCATTCAAGATATTTATCTGAAAAGCATTCATTCATTCATTCACTTACTCAGCAAATATGTCACTGAGCGCCTACCGCTCTCCAGGCACTGTGTTAGTACCTGGGATGCAACCGTGAGCAGAACACGATTCCTACCCTCACAGAGCTTACATTCTAGTGGGGAGAGACACACAACGAATAAGAAACATAGTAAGTAAATTATGAAACATGTTTAAAGGAGATGAGTGCCATGGATAAAAAAAAACAGAGCAGTGTGAGGGAGAAAGAGAGTGGGTGTGAGGGGATGTTCCGGGGAAGGGATGGTCGACAAGGGGCCTTGTGAGCAAAGGTTTGAAGGGATGCGCTGCACAGATCCGCGGAGGAAGCGCTCCAGACACAGGAACCAACGTGCAAAAGCCCTGTGGCAGCAATGTTCTCGGTGCGTTTGTGGGGCAGCAAGGAGGCCTTCACGACTGGACGGGAGTGCGCGGGGCGCGCGTGGAGGAGATGCAGTCGTGAGGGCCGTGGGATCCGCCAAAGCAAAGACTTCACTTTTTATTGGTAGGTACATATTTTGATGGATAATGGTGAGTGAGAGTGTTTCTGGGTGTATAAATGCGTGTATTTCTGAACAAAAGAGCATGGGTGTATGCATGTGTGTGTGCTGTCACTGACTCTCAAACTGGGCTCACAGGACTGTCACCTCACATCCTGCCTTGTTTGCTGCCCCAGAGCCTATTCCTTTAGAAAGTCCGTGTTGGGAGCCCAGCACTGCCCACCTGCCCACCTAAGTTCTGCCAGGTGCTCTTTCCTCCCCAGCAGTGTCAAACCAGAGGTAAACGCCAATGGGACCAGACGCACAGTCTGGGCTGGGACCTCTTTAAGACCCATCGATGCTTCTGTCCTTAGCTACGCAGGCCCCCTCGCCTTCCCCTGCTCACTTAGTCTTGATTTCCAAGTCATCGTGGCTGGAGTGGCACATTTCACTGAAGCGGGACACAAAGAAGTCATAGCTCCGATGATAGGATGGGGTGTCCTCCTCGATGTTGGCAAACTTCACGAACTACCCGGGAGGAGAGAGAGAAACGCACGTGAGAGATGACCCGCTGTGCCCCTCCCCTTTGCGCTCGGTGCCCCCTGCCATAGTAAAGCCATGGGATGTATACATCCCAGGAACCAAGCATCCCAGGACCCAGCTCTGGTCCGCCTCCCAGAGCAAAAGCTGGCATCAAAGCACATAGCCTACCCTAGAATGCATTCTGGGAAACAAGGACAAATCTGAAATTTGACTTAAAAATGTAATTACATTTTACTGTTAAAAAATTGAGTAAATTTTTAAGTTTGCCATTGCGTTTCAGTAAGTCTCGCTCGGCATCCTCAGCTGCTAGATTTCTTTCGCCATCATGTGCTGCACGTTTGCAATTGCAAATAGACTTAATTTCAGCTGAGTCCCACAGAGAAGCAAGAATCACAGACTAAGTGGAGTTAAATTACTAAAAAAATTAAATGTAATTCTCATAGGTTACTTTGTTTGTTGTTATAGATTCAGTACTGCAAACAACTCTAAAAAGATTAGACTTTAAATATATTCTCCACTATTCTGTCTTGTATTATTTAATTTTTACAAACATGTGTTCAAAAAGGATATAGGATTGAGATGATTCTAGAACCAATTCCAGTGTGTGTGCGTGTGTGTGTGCGTGTGGTTTCCACAGCACTAACAAACAATGCTCTAGACACCAGCTAGGTATATTAGAATTCAACTCCGTTCTGATACTATTTACCCAGAGATAGCATCAGATCCCACAGGTCAAGGGTTTAGCTTCCCGAGACGGCACCCTCCCCACCTTCAGACTCCAGTCACAAGTTCCGGTGGTCACCTGTGCTTCTTCCTGACCAGCTGCAGATGGGAGGTTCCCACAACCTCTTCCCTGAGTTCAATTAATTTGCTAAAGTGGCTCACAGAACTCAGAGAAACATTTTGCTTACTAGATCAGCAGTTTATTATAAAAGGATATAATTCAGGAACAGCCAGATGGGGGGAGATGCGGAGGGCGAGGTGTGTGGGAAGGGGCTCAGAACCTCCACGGCCTCTTTAGGCACCCCGCGCTCCTGCCTCCCCCTGTTCACCAACCCAGACGCTCTCCGAAGCTCTCCTTTTGGGTTTTCATGCAGGCTTCATTACGCAGGCATGATTGATTACATCACTGGCTATTGGTGATTGAACTCAATCTCCAGCCCCTCTCCCCTCCCTGGAGGTTATGGGTGGGGGGGGTGGGGGTTGGGATTGGGGTTGGGGTTGGGGGTGGGACTGAGAGTTGCAACCCTTTTTACAGAGAGACTGACATCCTCGCATACATTAAGTAACTTGCCAGGGCCCTGCAGGGTGACTCTGCAGCAGGAGCTCTGCCCTGCACACCTGGTGTTTTATTCCTGCTCCCTGCTGCCTCTAGCACCTCATGCCAAGTGATCCAGGAGAGTTGCTTGGCTGGTCAGAGGTGCTGGATTCTGTCAGGGAAGAGCAGGCAGAAGATGAAGAAGCGGCCAGGGCTGACCTGAGCTTGGCCTTAATAAGGAGGCCGGAGGAGTGAGGCTGCTGGTTTCCAAACACTACAGTATGACTGAGTCAAGGGGGCTTGGCAGCCACGCAGATCCCAGCCCCAGACGTGCTGTGTCGGTCTTGGATGAGGCCCGGGGACTTACCCTTCAGTAAGGTCCCAGGAAACTCCGGTGGGTGGTCCGAGGCTCATGTGTGACAGACACTGTAGGATCACTGACTGGCAACGTGGCCCCTTCTCTTCCTCTCCAGCCCCCTCCCCTGACCCTGTCGCTTCTCTGATTCCCGATCTCTGTGGAATGTGCCATCAGGTCGCCCTTCACTTGCAACTTTGACTTTCCTCTTCCTCCAAGTGCCATGGAGCCGAGAGCCGGACTGCTGGCCAGTCAGGTGCCCCGACCCGAGCACTTTCATGCCCAGCGTCTGTTCTCACTGGCTGTTATCTGTGTTGTACACGCTGCTAAATATTTCTACTATGACCCCTGGCTGTAAGGTTAGAATTGAAATTACCATCACTTTTTTTAAATGGAAAATTCAGTGACAGCCACTGAGGTACCACAGGATAGAAAACACGCCTGGGGTTGCTTTTCTAAGGCCGTGGTGGCCTTTTTCTCGGCTGGCCCAGCCACAGCTGCAAAACACCCTCATTCTTTTCTTCCGTGACCCTCCGTGTCCCTGGATTTTTACTCTTCTCAAAACTTAACTTTGAGTCTTCTCGAATTTTGATTTTGACATCATGGTTCTATTTAAGTAGACTAGGCCCCTGCTTTATCCGTGGGGCCTACAGTCAGACACCCATCCCCCGCTCTGCATCTTGTCATCTGTGTGACGGTGGACAAGTCATGTAACTTCTGAGCCACTGTGTCCTCGTTTGTAGGATGAGGACACTCGGACTGGTGCCACTGGGTAGTCTCCAGGGTTAAATGAGGGGACGCAAGCAGAGTGACCAGCACAATGCCCGCCACTGAGAAATGCTTGGGAAGCAGCACAGTGGTGAGTATGGTGACAGTGGTCATTTATGGTCTGCTCCATCAGCTCCAGGCCTGGGCTCAGTGCAGTGTGACCCTTGTCCTTTCCATGCCACCAACATGGGCCCAGACAGGCCATCACAGACGAGGAGCCCAGATGGGCAGTATGGACCGTGCAGGCAACACACCTCGAGTTCGGAGAGAAGGAAATGAGTCATAGCCACCGCCTCAACTGGCACCCGAGGGTGAGGGTGAGGACAGGCAGAGAGCAGAGGGCCAAGCCCCGCAAACACCATTCAGTCACTCGGTGCAGTAGGGTCGGACAGAACACAGCACGGAGGGACGAGGAAGAGGGGCTCGGTTGGGAGCTCCAGCAGCTGTCACCGCACGACCAGGAAGAAATGGTGCGAGGCTTGTTTATCGTCTCTTTAAAATGCATATATCACCTCCTATGAAGGTGAAAACAGTAGAGAAAACCAAGAAAAGCTCCCTGAGCTCCTACAGTACCAGAAACTGTGTGAATTCCAGACTTTTTCTTAGTAAGGTTCTTATTTCTAAGAGGCTTAACCTTTTCACAGGTCCTACAGGATTCGGCGACACACAATCATTGAACAAGTGTTTAGGGGCAAAGTACAAATACATTCGAGACATCAGTTAACACGCAGCGTTCCATTCTCTGCACGTCGGTGACTCCACTCACGGTGCTTTCCCGCCCACTTGATCCGAAAGACAAATTTCAAATACGGTTATAGTCAAGCTTGCTTGCTCTGTTTTAACTCGTACCTTGTTCTGTCAGAAGCCTTCAAAATATTCAAAAGGAATGAGTCCTTGAAGAAGCTATTTATAGACACAGGAGTTTGTGTCAAGAGTTGCCATCCCAAGCCCCATGTCCTTCCTTTAATACCAGTGTGGACGGCAGCAATATTGGAAACAGTTAACACCTATATCCTAAGTGATAACAACATTAAACATTTCTATGGCCCTTGCAGCTTACACATAATATTAGTTTCCTGGCGTTGCTCCAATCTCTGCCTGCATCTTCACATCACCTCCTCCTGTGTGTCAAATCCCTCTCTGCCTGACTTTCTTATAAAACCCTTGTGATGGCATTGAGGGCACTCTCCCCTCTCATGATCCTTAACTTGGTCACATGTGCAGACTCCTTGTTTCCATATAAAGTGACATTCACAGGTTCTAGGGATTGGCATGTGGACTTTCCAGCCTATCAGAGCATCCATTATCTGATGTAATTTTTGGCAAACCCATGAGTTTAGCAGGGCCTGTATTGTTCCCATTGCAAAGATGAGGAAATTGAGGCCCTGAAGGACCAAGTGAATTATTTCAGGTCAACCAGCTTGTGATAGGTGGGCTGGGCCTCGCCCTTGGGAAATCTGATATTCTGATGCTCTTTGCCCTCTACCAGTGATTTTTGAATTTTAATGTGCATCAGGACAGCCTGGGGAGCTTGTTGAAAATGCAGACCTCTTGAGCTACTCCAGGCCTCTTGAACAAGACTAGGGGCAGGGCCCAGGTACCTGTATTCTGAAGCCTCCACCCCTCACCACCACCTCCTACCCTTAAGATTCTGGGGCAGGGGATCTACAGCCCATGTCCTTTGTCCCTTTACTGGCAAGCTCGACAGTAGCTATGGAAATGTTCTGAGGCATCTGGGAGGGAGAAAGCTTAAGCAGTATGCTTGGGGAAAGTCAAGGACTCTCGTCCTTGGTAGCGGAGGCTGGTCAAGGCTGGATAGGTGGCCACCTCCTTTGGACTGGAGTGGTTTGGGGTTGAACCAAGGGTTGGATGCGTGACTCTGCCATGGCTCCACCTCTGGGGCCCAGGACTGGCTGAGAGGCTGTGGCCTTAAGGCTTCGCTGTTGACCATCCATCCACTCACCAGGATTCCCGCTCTGCTACAAAGTCTGGTGATGAGACTGCACTAATGCCATACAGAGGGTGTGTGCCCCATTTATTAGATTACGGGTGGCACCGGGACTAGCTAATAAAATAGGCATCTTTTGGCACCAGGATCTCTGAGCAACCTTAGGAAGCCTTAGGTTTGATAGCTTTACAGGAAGAGCTTCTTTTCCTCAAGTCTGAAAGAATAACAGTGCAGACATGCCAGCCCAGATGACCCACGGGAACGCTGGCCTGTGTTCCCATGGGGGCAGCTTCTAATGAGCCCACCCCAAGCTGAGTCTTCCGGTGGCCGACAGGAGGAGGCCGAAATGGAAACTTTGGTGATGGTATGTCAGAGGGTGAAACCAGGATGCTTCATGGGGGCCGTGGTCAAGGGCCCACACTCGCTGTGGAAGTCTGCCTGGGAAGCGTGACAAAACCTGGCTGAGATGGGGTAGAGACGCTAAGGTTTTATAATGAGTAAGGCCTTCATCCTTCTCATAACAGGCAGTACAGTGTTATGATTATGAGAAGGAGTATGGAGCCAAAACACATTTCTGAGTCCCAGCTCCTCCATTTATTAGGAGGCTGATCTGGAACAAGTTACCTAAGTTCCCTGTGCCTCAGTCCCCCAACCGT